CTTATGGGAATCCCTTTGTGTGTTATTTGTTGTTTCTCCCTTGCTGCTTTTAATATTTGTTCTTTGTGTTTGATCTTTGTTAATTTGATTAATATGTGTCTTGGGGTGTTTCACCTAGGGTTTACCCTGCTTGGGACTCTCTGGGTTTCCTGGACTTGGGTGGCTATTTCCTTCCCCATTTTAGGGAAATTTTCAGCTACTATCTCCTCGAGTATTTTCTCATGGCCTTTCTTTTTGTCTTCTTCTTCTGGGACTCCTATGATTCGAATTTTAGGGCGTTTCACATTGTCCCAGAGGTCCCTGAGGTTGTCCTCATTTCTTTTGATTCTTTTTTCTTTTTTCCTCTCTGCTTCATTTATTTCCACCATTTTATCTTCTACCTCACTTATCCTATCTTATGTCTCCGTTATTCTACTGTTGGTTCCCTCCAGAGTGTTTTTGATCTCATTTATTGCATTATTCATTTTTAATTGACTTATTTATTTCTTCTAGGTCCTTATTAAACATTTCTTCATCTTCTCAATCTTTGTCTCCAGGCTATTTATCTGTAACTCCATTTTGTTTTCAAGAGTTTGGATCATTTTTATTATCATTATTCTAAATTCTTTTTCAGGTAGATTCCCTATCTCCTCCTCTTTTGTTTGACTTGGTGGGCATTTTTCACGTTCCTTTACCTGTTGGGTATTTCTCTGCCTTTTCATCCTGTTTAGATTGCTGTGTCTGGAGTGGGCTTTCTGTGTTCTGGTGGTCTGCGGTTCCTTTTTAATGTGGAGGTTTCACCCAGTGGGTGGGGTTGGACGATTGGCTTGTCAAGGTTTCCTGGTCAGCGAAGCTTGCGTCGGTGTTCTGATGCGTGGAACTGGATTTTTTCTCTCTGGAGTGCAATGGAGTGTCCAGTAATGAGTTTTGAGATGGGTCTGTGTTAGGTGTGACTTTGGGCAGCCTGTATGTTGACACTCAGGGCTATGTTCCTGCGTTGCTGGAGAATTTGTGTGGTATGTCTTGCTTTGGAACTTATTGGCTCTTGGGTGGTGGTTGGTTTCAGTGTAGGTATGGAGGCTTTTGAATGGTCTCTTATTAATGTTCCGTGTAGTCAGGAGTTTTCTGGTGTTCTCAGGTTTTGGGCTTAAGTCTCCTGCCTCTGGATTTCAGTTTTATTCTTCCAGTAGTCTCAAGACTTCTCCAACTATACAGCACTGATAATAAAACTTCTAGGTTAATGGTGAAAAGATTCTCCACCGTGAGGGACACCCAGGGAGGTTCACAGAGTTACATGAAGAAGAGGAGAGGGAGGAGGGAGATAGAGATGAGCAGGAGGAGAAAAAGGGGGCACTCAAGAGGAGAGAGACAGATCTACACAGTTCTCTGTTCCCAAAGTGTTCTCCATAGTTCAGACACCCACAGAGATTCACAGGATTGGATTGGGAAGAGAAGGGGAAAGGAGGAAATAGAGGTGTTCTGAGGTAGAACACAGAGAGTCAAAAGTGGGAGAGCACACTCCTGAGTAAAAATGGGTACTGAATATTGGATTCTTAAATGTCCAAAATTGATATGAAGTACTGAAAAACAAATATTAAAAATCTAGAGTAGAGGTTAGACTCTTAAAAATATAATATTAAAAACAAAAACAAAGCCACAAAAAATTTTAGAAATATATATGAAGTTCGGTTTAAAAATATGGCTTCTCCTTTTTTTTTTTGCAAGGTTATAGTGAAATGAAAATTAAGGAGTAATAGAGCATTTTAAAAGAAAATAAGAGAAAAAAATAAAACGGGGAAAATTCTTTTCCTAATTAAAAAAATAGTAAAAATATATGAAAATGAAAGTTAAGGAGTAGTGGGGGAGTAATAGGGAATTTTAAAAGAAAATAAAAGAGTAAAAAGAAAAGAGAAAAAAAAAAGGTAAAAATATATCTAGGAATTTCTCTGGAGCTGTTGCGGTCAGTGTGGGTTCGGTTCAGTTTCAGACAGCTCCTTGTTCCAGCTTACACTTCTCGGTATCTATAGGCCCCTTCTGGTGTAGTCAGTGTTACCTACAGGGATTTTAATCTGTTGCACTGGTCCTTTCTGAAGCGGTTCCCTTTGTTTATTTGGCTTCTGTTTGGGGGTCTCTTCAGTGTCTAATTTCCACCCTGACACAGGCGGGCGGAGGTGGTCTCTTGTTTAGGTTCGCTGGTTCAGTCGGCTGCGGGGAGGGAGGGGCGCTGCAGATATCACTGTGTGCGGGGAGCACTCGCAGTGTTCCGGCCACACTGGGTTTGCCCCGCTCACGGGTGTGTGCTCTCCCCGTCTACACTGCTCAGGCTCCCGGGTGCTCTATATGGAGCGGGCCCTGCGTTGCGTGCGGTTCCAGTTTTCGTGTACTCCACAAAAGCACGGACTCAGTTGGGCCTGCATTTTGTGCCTTCCCCTGCCGGAGCAGCTCAGGCAGCCAGGAGCTTGATGGGCGCACTTTCCCCGGGTGTGGTGCGCCTTCTCCCCTCCACGGTCCCAGCCTCAGTTTCTTCGTGCGCCAGTCAGATGCGTGTGGCTTGTGTCTATTCTTGGGACCTGGCCTCTAGCTACGACCCTCCTGGCGGATGTCGACCATCCAGAATCTCAGGAAGTCTTTGGTTAGAAACTGGAGGCCTGTTTGCAGTTTGGTAGGGGATGCGGTCTCTGGGGCCGAGTTTGCCCCTTTCCGCTTTCCCCTGCCTCCTGCCTCCGGCAGGGATGGGCCGGTCCGCAGCCAGCTAGCTCTTCTCTGTAATTGCTCAGTCTCTTTGTTCTGCAAATGGCCGGCAGTGTGTTCGGCCCATTAATTTTCTCCCTCTCTCTTGCTATCCCACAGTTTAAGTTGCTATCTCACATTAGCTCCCTCCAATTGCCCTCAAGGCATTTGGGCCAATGCTTACCCTAAGCAGTGTCAGTCCTTACCCTAAGCAATGCCACCTGCTCCTCTCCATTGCTGGTGGTGGATGCGGGCGTCTGGGGTACTTTTCTGCTGGGGGTTGCTTTTAGGCATGTAATCTGTGAGTTTTATTTATTTTTCCTCCCAGTTAGGTTGCCCTCCGAGATTCGAAAACTTCCCCCAGACCCTCCTGTGAGAGGGTTTCCTGGTGTTTGGAAACTTCCTCTATCATGACTCCCTTCCCAGGACGGGTCTCCGTCCCTAGCTCTTTTGTCTCTCTTTTTATCTTTTATATTTTATCCTGCCTCCTTTTGAAGACGATGGGCTGCTTTCCTGGGTGCCTGATGTCTTCTGCTAGCGGTCAGAAGTTGTTTTGTGAAGTTTGCTCAGCGTTCAAATGTTCTTTCGATGAATTTGTAGGGGAGAAGGTGGTCTCCCCGTCCTATTCCTCCGCCATCTTGGCTCCTCCTCAGTTGTGTAGTTTTTGATGCTGTGTGTTTCAGGAGTTCTTACTGGCTTTGTGCTTCTGTAGCTCCAATTTAGGTTTGTATTCTTTATTAGACAGTTAATGCCCCTTCATGAAAAGGCCTGGGCAACACTTTACCAAAACTTAGTACTAAAGCCCAATCCAAGGAGCAGTATGGGATTCTGATGGTTCCAGTTTGATCCGGAACATGGGACGTCCAACACCATGGGAAAAGAGGAAGAGCCCTGTGAAGCAGAGGTGTTCACGACAAGCCTTAGTTCCTGTGTCTTATGTGAGAAGGCAAAGAAGTGTGTGATACCATTTTAGAAAACATTGAGGAAAGTGGCAGTTTTATTTTTTTTAATGATGCCAAAAACAAAAAACCCACAGATCTGAAAATCTTAGTTATCTGAAATAACTTCTCTTCAGCACCCTCCACTTCTGAGGAAAGTGTCACAAATGGACAGGTTTAGGAAGGAACTAGGAAGAAGGCTACTTGGTTTTTAAGTTTCGATAGGTGAGAAGTCATGTTCATCTTCTATTGCAAATAAGCCAACAGTTTAAAACTTGAACACTAGGAATCGTGTTGTTCAGGTGTCTTCATTTCTTTTCCTAATTTGTAAGAAGAGTGTGAGTCTGTCGCTTCTTTCAGTCTCCATTGTCGTTTTCAGCGCAGCTCTTTAGTTCTTTGCCACTTTCTCACCAGTCATTGCTGTTTGTCTCTGCCAGGCTCTGCAACACTTTCCCCCTGTCATGGTCCTTCCCATTCTGTCACCTGTGGTAATCAGATGCAAATCATCTGTTTACTTGAGCCTTTGTGAGCCTGCCACTGGTTTAGGCACTGAGTAGGTGCACCAAGCAAGTCCTTGCCCTTATAGAAATGACACTTGAGTGAGGAAGACAGTACATAATAGTGTATGTAATAAATAAAGCAAGTAGAATGAGAGGAGCAAGGAACAAGTTGTAGCTGTTTTTATGCCAGCTGCCTCCCAGCATAGCTCCACTTTGACTCTTACTCCGTGAGTCACTCAGTCGTGTCTGACTCTTTGCAATGCCATGAACTATACAGTCGATGGAATTCTCCAGGCCAGAATACTGGAGTGGGTAGACATTCCCTTCTCCAGTGGATCTTCCAAACCCAGGGGTTGAACCCACGTCTCCCACATTGTAGGCGGATTCTTTACCAGCTGAGCCACCAAGGAAGCCCATGAATACTGGAGTGGGTAGCCTATCCCTTCTCCTGCAGATCTTCCTGACCCAGGAATGGAACCAGGGTCTTCTGCATTGCAGGTGGATTCTTTACCAACTGAGCTACTGGCAAAGCCCCGAATCTCACTCAGGATGCCTCCATTCTAATAAATGGTTCCGCATCCCTTCATCCCACTCCTGTCCTTTCACCTGTCTGGCTCTATTGAACTGAATGTAGGTTGCATTACCTGCAGTCCACCAGGGGCTCCTTCTTTTCTTTTTTTTTTTTTTTTGCACCTCCATTTATTTAAAAGTGCTGGATTAGATTTTTAAGGTCTCTTTTTGTTTGAAAGTTCTATTTAAATTTCTCATAATTTATGATTGCTGACATTAAATATAATTATGAAAGTCTGAATATGGCATAAGAAAACAATTTTTAGTTATCTGGAATATAATAAGAGAAAGCCTTTGAATATTTGGGTGTACCTTGCAAATATGAGAAATAATTTTGAATAATGCTTTACCAATTTAGGGGCTCCTTATTTTCACAGTCCCTTTCCAGTTTGACTTTTCTATCCCATTTTACCAGCCATTTCGCTTATGCTCATGAGTATCCTGACTTACCTTCTTTTATAGAAGATCCCCAGGAGTAGGAAATGACAACTCACTCCAGTATTCTTGCCTGGAAAATCCCATGGTCAGAGGAACCTAGTGGGTTATAATCCGCAGGGTCGCAGAGAGTTGGTCACAATGGAGCATCTGAGCACTCACACACATTGAAAAGGGGGAAAAAAAGCCTCACAAACTGACATTTAATACCTGAAAAACCATTAGTGAGTTGATGAAAATTCTTTAAATCATCATTGATAGATCTATTGAACGAATTGTATTCTTTTCAAATTCATTTTCTCTTCTTAGGTAATACGAGGAAATAGTATCATCATGTTAGAAGCCTTGGAACGAGTATGAACAACATCTTTGTTCATCAATCAACTGCTTCCGTGTGTCCCCTTCTCCACATTTTACTACCAGAAAAATTGGGTTGTGTACATTTTCTTAGTGAACTTTTTTGTTAAATAAACTTTTGTAATAGCCAAAAATGCTTTGTTAGCTGTTCTCAACTTAGAATATTTGCTCTTATTCTGATTTTTTCCTGTCATGACCTGTTATTGGTTGAGACTGATTAGTTCAGAGGTTTTTAATGCATTAAAATAGAAAAATCTTAGTAAATATGAAACATTGGCAAGATGCCCTTTTTCCCTGTCTTTTACTACTGAACAAAGTTAAAGAAGCTGCAAACCTGAGTGGGTTTCCTCTAAAACATAACTGAAATTTTTAAAGTTCTTGCAGTAACTTGGACAGACTCTGACTTTTTTACATACACATTCCAAGTAGTTTCACTCAAACAACATGGATTAAACTGCAGGTCCACTTATATACGGGTTTTTTCCAATAGTAAATACTACAGTACTACACCATCCATGGTTGAATCTATGGATTCCAAACTGAGTACAGGAACTATATGCAGAGACCTGATTGCTCAAAGGGTCAGCATCCATAACCCCCACAATGTTTTAAGAGTCAACCATATAGTACCAACAGAAGTAAAACACAGAAAGTAATGATGTCATTGTTTTTATTTTGAACATAAGTGGGAAAAAATGTTGAAGACAAGAGTAGAAATACAATTCCAGAGGAAAACATTCCAGTGCATTGTGGTTCTTTGTGGGGTAGAAGATGGTGATAATGCTGCCCGTAATATACTCACCTAGTTTGTAATTTTATGGTGCACAAACTCCAATAAGAGATAATATTACAGACATGTATCATAAACCTAACTTTAAAAAAATCTATCAAGCAAATGCTTAAGTTTATTTTTGTGATCTGGTAGAAAGCCTACAAATCATGAGTCACTTTAAAACTAGAGTAGGATATACACAGTATGTGAGGTACTTGTAAACAAGTATGTAAAATGGTATTCCCTATTTATAGGAAATGTTTACAGAAAAAATACAGCTAGAGGGATCAAACTAGAGTTGATGTGAAGGCCATACATTTTTATTTTTCCATTCTCCCCTTTAAACCTTCCCTAACATTGCAACCACATAAAGCTGAATTTAGGACTGGTAGAATTTCTAAGTGTGGCTCCTACCCGGCAGCATCACGTAGGAACATAACAGAAATGCAGTCTTTTGTATGCTACTCCATACATACTGCAACATTTCAAGGGGTGAGGCCAGCCATGTTTTAACAAGCCTTCCAGTAATACTGAAGCAGAACTTGGCCTTCCTTCAGCCTGTGCATAATCTTTACCAGTCTCTTCTGTTCTGTAAAAATTTCACTTGAGTAGCCTCCTGGAATAATGGGCCCTGACAGGTCTTTCTTCCAATTAAGTCTTTTTGAATTCTGTTAGTTGCATTAAAATTAACATGCTTACTATATGGATAACCTTTTTGCTCTTTAACAACTTCAGATGCCTCGTTGGAAAACAGAGTTGGGTTTGATACAACAGCAATATTTAAAACTGGTGTTCTAAAAATAATTTGCCATTGCAAAACAAGTCTGCAGACATTGGAAATTATTCCACTAGAATTCACCCACTTTTAGCATATACACAACAGTGCTATACTCTACATACTATCTTCTTTAAAACCACAAAAGGAAAACAGTACAAATGCCTCTTAACATACTTGTTAAGAATAAAAATAGTAAAAAGCTAATTCTGACAAACTATAAATTTAATTCCTGCCTCTACATCAAATATCTTGGCAGTTTTATCAGCATATTAATATTCACAATTGTAGAGAATAAATCGCTTTAAGAATCAATGTTCTCCTTTTTGCTAAAAGGAGCAACTGCTATCATCTGGAGGAGGACTTCTTCAAAAAGACAATATATGTTAACTTGGTTGCAGTTCAGTTACTTTTAGAATTCAGAAGTTTCTACTTGTTTTGTCCTTCCAAGATAAGGACACTCATGATCTTTGTACAGGTGGAGAACCGGGTCTCAAGTTTGGCTACATCCTGGAATCATTTCAGAAGCAGTCCTACAGGTGATTACAATGCACAGCCGAACCACCGCCTCAAAACAAGATTTCAACAACCAATTTCTCAATCAGAATGCTGCAGTACCTTCAGAAGCATTTAACAGTTTGAACATAAACTGGATCTGATCAAGTGTGGGGTCACTGAATATATTCTAGTGCCAGAGGCTCTAGAATCATCTAAGTTGCCTCTGCTGTGAAACTGTCGATGCTTCTTACTACCAAGACTACTAGAGTTCTCACTGAGAGAAATCCTTTGCAACATGGATTTGCTTTGATAATGGATTGGGTTTCTTGGGACTTTTAAGGCACTAAAAACCCTTTGAAAACATCATAAACCCCCACATCAGTGACTAAACCCCAGTTGTCCATTAGGAACTCTAAATAAAAAGCTGAGGTCCTATCCTCAGTCCATTAAACCAATCTCTGTTGTGGGGCTGTCACCATTTTTCAAAGCTCCTCAGGTGAGGGTTTGATAATAGAAGACAAATTTAAGAAATTTAAATCAGTAGCCTATACTTGCTTTTCATTTTACTTGAGATTTTTGTGTGACATCTTTATACTACACTAAGACTTCTGAACTTCACCCCTAATGAAATAGAGACAGAAGCAATCAAAAGAACATTCTGAAAATCAAGGCTTTAAGCATGGGCATATGTCATTTGCAAAATATAAGTTACTATAGCCAGGCATAAGATACCAGTTCCCATGGTTATTTTACCTGACTGAAGATCACATCCAACCGTGAAGCGCAAATGAACTAGTCCAGTCTTCCTCAAGGGGTCAGCTTAAAATGCTTTAAAGTTTCGTTCAAAATCCAGGGCCCCATCCCAGACGTACTAAATCAGAACCTCCAGAGGAGCTAGAGAATTCATATGTCTAACAAACTGCAGATGATTCTTATGATCAGACAAGTTTGAGAAATGCTGCTGATGGATATTCAAGAAAGAGTTCGATTTTGGAGATGCAATAGTTTTACCTTCATGCTTAATTAGAACCTTGCATTTCTCATGACTCACTGGGATTACTTTTGTTAAATGATGATAATGGCAAAATATCTGATTCAAAATCGTCTCTGTTCAGACTGTTTTTTTTTTTTTTTTTTTTGCCAGTGATATTCCATTTGGAACCAGGAGGGGGATAAAAGAGAGAGTGGTATTTCATAGTTCCGTTTTAAGTCTCTCATATAAGTCCTCTTGGTCAATCATGTGTGTGTTCCCATTCCAGCGGTGATAGGCAAGGAGAGCAGCATTGTAGCCTGCAATGGCACTCATTTCCATGGCACTTGCTGCAAACTCTATGCCGTTGAGGTAATAAAGTCGATCATGAAGTATGATGGAGGGGCATTTCTCTGGAGGCGTATAATGAGGGTATGCAAGCCATGACTGCTTCACAGCATAATCATAGGACACAAAGAGCTTTAAAATTTGTTCTTTACTAAGTGGTGCTGCAGAAAAGATCTTCCAGACATGTGCTATATCTGCTTTTGGCTGAGGATTACTGTCTTCTTCTACAGGGGACACAAGCCCAATGCTGTTAATGAATAAATCTGGATTATCAGTGGTTAAGACTGTACCAAGATGAAACTCATTTAAGGCTCTAGAGCTAAAGACAGTTGAATTCAACTCCCCTTTAATTAAAGTTGTCACTAAAGGTTCATAGTGTTGATGGAATTCCTCAATTGGAGGATCGAAGTTGAGAAAATTTATGTTGGACATTTTCCGATTCAATGGAGTGGCCACCAGGACAATATCATAGAAGTCTGAATGGGTCTCAGATCCAGTTTGGTAGACCACTTCATACACCTTTGAGGGATTTCCTAGAGGAAATAAAGCATATATTTTTTTAAGTGTTTCTAACATACTATATTTTATACCTTCTAAAAATAATTCTATACCTTAATAGTTTCTCCATAATTCTAAGGACTTAAACAAGTTTTATCCCTTAAGATAACTGGCCCCTGCATTTGTATTACACTGAGGCAAATTTTCTACTTGGAATGGAAATAAAACCTGTCAACAGGTACAAAATATGAAATGTTTACTTTTGAGGGTGAATTTCTTTTTTAAATCCAAAGAGTCATGCCACTGGACTTGAGCACATGTGTATCTATTTCCGCATGACACACAACACTTAACCTCCAATTTAAAATTTCATCATCTGGAACTGAGCGAGAGCTGGAAAAACAGGCTTTTCTCCCTGACAGCTATTTTCTGCAGGGGAAATCAGTAACAGTAAAACAAGTTCAAGCTTACCTGTCTGCTTGGTCCTTGTTTTCTCCTCTATGGACATTACTAAGCCCGAGACAAGGTTGCTTCTGGAAGCCTGAAGGAGCCTTGAGCAAACAAGTTTATTGCCACCTTTTACTGCCCAAAGGCCAGGATCAGTACAGGACATTGACACTGCCCCTGTTGGCAGTAGGACAAAATGCGTTAATTCTGACTCTGTAAGAGGCCCTCTACCCTCTCTCCCTTCCCACACAGCTGCATCTGGCTCCAAATCTAGACACTGCCAAATGACCCTCAGTGCAAAGTTTCCCCCAGTTGAGGACCATTCAACTAATAAAAACCAGACTCTGTTCCCATAAAAATGCTCATCTACACATGCACAATGCTGCCAAGATTTTCATTGTGTCTGAGGTTTCACAAAGGAAGGTAGTCCTCTCCAAATCATGGCCTAAAGTAAGGAGCCACCAAAGCATCAGGTAAACCGCACTGTCAATTAATGTCCGTGAACTATTCCAAGCCCTGACTTACCTACAAAGCCGTTGATGTTTGTAGTTTGGCCATAATTTACCCTCATGACAGGAGTAATAATTTCATCAAGGAACTTCTCAGAGAAGCCTGCTTTCTGCAAGGTTTCAAGAAGTGACCGGTTAAATAATCCGAGATAGTCGTCCCCTCCTAGGGAATGCAGTAACTTTTCTACGCTACTGAAGGCATAGTCATGAGACTGGTAGCGGTAGATCCTTTTGAATAGAAGAGAAATGGCCATTAAACACCAGATAGTGGGGAGGGTACAAACAAAGAAGTAAAACAGCATCCTAAGACTCCAAGTGGCTTTCCTGTTTCCTTTGGACGAGTCCCTACCAATCCTGTGAGCTGCGTCTTCCCCATGTATCCCAGAGACTCCTGGCCTCCCTTTCCCTCTATCTCCTCTGGAGGAAGTCCACTGTCCTTTCAATTCACTCTTCT